TGGTAGTTCTCTGTTGATGTACAAAGTGATGGGCTAGCGTGAGCATCTACAGGCTAGCAAGAGTCAATTGTTAAACATTCAGGGATGTTTTTAGGGGCCAAAAGTGAAGAGAACTTGAAACACTTGCTGCAGATCAATTACAATTACATTTTCGTTTACTATAAGAAAAACAGCTCAGATGAGGTGGTTGATGAGGATTCTAATTTCTTTATAGTCTTCTGTACACAGATTTCTACATAATATACAGGTGTGGTTCCCCCCCCTCCTGTTGTATACTGTCAAACTGGATCCAAGTGGCACAGGAGGACATTGCTCCTCCTTTTCCAGCAGAGCATCTGGTAGATTTGAACTGCATGCCTTCAGGATTACAGTGCAGCTTTTTGCCACTAGGCCACCAGAGCTCCATAATATATTTTTAAAACAGAATTTTTATTTGGACATTTGAGTCTTTGGGTAAATATTATGAAAATGGAAAGATCAAACTTCTCAAAATGTCCATATACTCAGCATAGTTTGTACTATACGTGTTGTAAAAATGGAGATTATTTATGTTTCAAGAGTTTCCAAAGGTTTGAAATAATCTTACGATAAGTTTTTGTTTTTTTTCTGGTTTACTGTATGGTGATGGAACAAATGCATGCTTATCTGAAAAGAAAGCAAATGTAATAGCAGAGTGCTTGGTTCTAACCATCCCATCCTGGGAACAGCTTTGGGGCGCCACACCTTACGTTCCTCCTTGGTCGTTTCATAGTTAGCCAAAGAATGTATATGTGAACAGACATTAAAGAAGCCATAATATAATTACCTTAGAATACTGAAATGAAAAGGGCAAAAGTGCTGGGAAATTAGGGCCAGGAATCAAGCAATGTAGTTGTTTTAAAAGCCAGGGACTAAAACCATCAGTGAACTTGAACTGCTAACTAAGCTTTCTCTCTGTATTCAACATGAGCCCATTCTTTATTAGACATCTGTGTCATTCAGCTTTGATGCCCAAAACTAGAAAACCTGAAAACCTGGCTTCCAGAAAGAAAAACCTGAGATGTTCCGTCAGGAACAAAATGGCATGTTCCCAAAAAAACCACCACCAACACTCCAAACAGACCAGGCCATGGCAGGAATTGTTTTGGGGGGATAAACTCTGACTCTGTTACAGCATCTTCAATATTGATGCTGAGAGGGGCCGTCAACATGTTGACGGGGGCATTTGGAGGTGAGGAAGCCCGGGGCCCCTCACACACACTGCAGCATGTTTCTGTAGGAGAAACCCGTCAGCAAGGTTTGGCTTTCAGCAGCAAAACTGAGGGACAAATGAAAACTCCCATCACTGTGTGTGGGCTGCAAAGGGAAATGTATTGATAAGCAACTTGAATGATCCTCAGTGACAAAGAGTGCTGATAAATGTGGGAGGGAATTGTGGGTTTTTCAAATCATGGTTTTAAAAGTGACTGGGAGAAAGATGAAAACATTCTGTTGTTTTTCATATATAGGAGAGAGCATATTTGATACACAGGGGACCTGAAATGCTACAAGGCTGAATGGATGGTGGACTAGCCATTGAACTGTTTTTTTGGTTTTTTTTTTCATTGCACTGTTTTTATTGGAGGTGTTAGGTGCCATCGAGTCAAGTATGATTCATAGACACCCTATGAACAAAAGATCTGAACCCTGTCCTGTCCTGTGCCATCCTCACACTTCCTGACACACAAGAGCCCATAGCAGCAGTCACCGTGTCAACCACCTGGTTGAGGGTCTTCCTCTCCTTTGCCGACCCTCTACCCTTCCCAACATCCTGTCCTTCTCTAAGGAACAGCCCCTCTTAGCAATATGTCCAAAGTGTGTTAGGTGAAGCCTCATCATTCTTGCCTCAAAAGAGCACTCACTGCACCCTCTCCAAGACGTATCCATTTCTTGGCCATCTATGGAATGCCTGCTTTTACTGAGGATTCAAAGAAAAAGACCATTAGGAAGATGATGGTTTAATTAGCGTTGGGAAACATATCCATACGAACATGATAGGAAATGATGTCTACCTTGAAAATTATTTTTCACTTGTCTTAAATGCAGAATAGTTCTTGTAATGAGATAAGTGCAAGTCAGATGACTTTAAATTAAAATCCTATTCAACTGTATATATCCCCCCACCCTTCCTTCCAAAATGGTTATGTGCCTATGGGTAAGTCGCATTTCTGTAATCCTCAATCTTCCGCTCTGCAAAAATGGGGTTGAGATAGCTAAATTCAGGCAATATACATGCAGCTCACTCAACACTAGCTTGGTACTATGATTATGTCAAAAGTTGATAGAAAAGGCTTAAGAACAAAATACAATTTTATTAAAGGAATATTGTTTATACAGAGACTGACATTTTTGTAACTAAGTGCCAGGGCGATACTAAAATTGGGTTTGACACCTTGGAGTATAAAAGATGAATGATGCATGCCTCATCGGCTTTCATTTGATTACATGTGTCCGTAGGTGGCATCCCTTTTATGTAAAAACAACTGCAGGCATCAGAGGACAGATATCTGCCTGTGAGAAATCGAAATCTGCTTGATTAAACATTTTACAAGATGCCCGGCCTCCCAGAAACAAAAATGCTACCTGATTTGTTTTTCTAGAAGTAGCTTTCCATTTGTTAATATATTGTGCCCTTCCCCCACCTCCAAGTTGCTAAGAGAAAAGCCTACTTTAAGTTTAATTGGAAAAAAAATATTCTAGATCCTAGTTTTTAAGTATTTTTAAGAGATTTTTTTCAGTGCTGGGAATAGTACTTAAGTGAGAATGGCATGTCACTGTAGACAGGCATCATACTATCTCAGAATAATTTGTCGATTATGTATAATTCCAGCAGGAAGTGATAATGGGAATAATTGAAAACCTCAAGTGATTTAAGAGGTGAGGGAGGGAGAGATGCCAGTTCTCTGTAAAGATGAATTTGTGTAAAACTGCTTTGTGCTCCAGAAAGTCATATGCCTGGCACTGGCATTAGCTGATTTCCCGTGATAACATCCTTCAGCATTAGAAAAATAACGGGGAAACTGGCTCATTCCATTAGATGAGAGAAATTGCTGATCCTTAACCAGGGAGGCATTTTTACAAAAGCTGCATCCAGAAATTGACTCATTGCTCTGCTTCTCCCATCAACAGAGATGGAATTGAGGAGATCCGTTCCCAGAGCTGCCCCTCCAGTGGATTTTCAGAGAATGGAAATCACACAGAAGGAGAATGCCCATCTTTTCCCCTCAGACTGGCTAGTGGATTTGAACCACCAGACAAGTGTGGCCTTTGGCTTAGCAGAGCACCTCCCTACAGACGAGACCACCAGCGCTCCCTTGGTTGAAGACTTCGTTGTTAACCATCGAGTCAGGAACTGACTCTTAGCTGACCCTCCAGCAGGTTTTCAGAGGAAGTAAATTGCATGGGAGGAAAGTGCCCATCTTTTTCCCAAAAAGCAGCTGGTAGATTTGAAGTGGGTTCCTTTGGGTTGGCAGTGCAGTTCCTTATCACTAACAGTGACTATGGAATGGGAAGTGGTGTCTGGACCATGTGGCAGGGGGCAGAGACAGAAGCAAGCATTGCCTGACCTGGCTCACTGCCGGCAGCTCATTGTCTGTTAGGGCTCTTGAGCTTCTGGGTCTCTGCTTCCACACAGCTGCCTCCCAGGGTGTTTCCTGCCCCCTTGGTGCTATCTGTACTCCAGAGACTGGAGGCCTCCTTTCCCCAAGGTGTGCCTACTGAGGCGTGCTCTCTGCGGCCATGGCATCAGAGGCAGGAGGCATCCTTGCCTTTAGGTGCCTTCCCCGAGGCCTCACTGTCCTGTCTGTAAGTTTCTAATTCAGATATTCCTGTGATAAGGCACATCTCGTTGAACGTTCCCGCTCTCTTGCAATCTGTTCTGAGAAACAGCTTGGAGGGGAGAGGTGAAGAGAGCATTGGGAGCTTCAGGGAACAACAGGGCCACAGGACACGGGGACATGTGCACTGAGGGGCTTAGGGATGCCAGGGCCATGAGCCGACTTCTGAAGAGGGAAGGGTTAACAGTGGCATTCGAAGGCCACCTCTGCCAGTTGGACTGCAGATTCCCATCTTAACCCATTGCTGTTGAGCCAATTCCAACTCATAAAGAAGTGTCCTGCCGTATTGCCAAGGAATTCCTTTCTATGGAAGCAGACTGCCTTGCCTCCTCCTGCAGGGCCCCCAGGGGGTACAAAACTGGCCTTGCTGTCATCAGCTAAGTACTTCAACAACTGCACCACCAGAGCACTTTCTTTTCCGGTATAACCCACTGCTGTGGAGACAGTGCTGAACCCTGGGGACCCTCACTGGCGTTTGAGATCATAAGCTGTCACTGGAAGGACTGCCCCGACTCTCCTGAGGAATGCCTGGGGGATCCCAACTGCTGACCTTTCAGCTTGCAGCCTGACACGTGACACCCTGGGGACCTTATTTCCAGGTATACCTTCTGTGAACCAGACTTTGACTTGTGAAAGTATTTAATCAGAGTCGTCTCTACACTCCAAAATATTCTGCATACTTCCCAAGGAATATCTTCCTACAAAAAAGTAATTAAAAAACAAGGTATTTACAGAATTGGCTTTTTTAGTCATTTTTTAAACACAATCAAACCCAAAAGTGTGGTAAACTGCCAGAACTCGATGTGTGGCTAGACGATAAAGGGGCACACGTCCTTCCCCCGAGCTACGTGAGTCAGACTTGTTACAGATACATCCCGTTGATGAGGTAGTCCGATTCCTCAGATGTTATGGGACGCACTTTTTTAAGTTTCTGTTTGACCAGTCGTAGTCGGCAAGCAACCATGAGCAGCAGCAGAGCGGTGATGGCCAGGCCGAGCGCCAGGGGCAGCACCGCACCTGTGAAGGTCAAGAACGAAAAGGTGAGGTCAGCAAGGAATAAAAGCAGTTGCCATTTCCTGGGCAAAAAGCTTTTGATTGCACTATTTAATCCAAACAACTCTAATAAGGAGATGGCTAAGAAGTCAACACCAAGGCAAGTGGTTCAAGTCCACCTGTCACTCGGCAGGAGAAGATGGACAGTCTCTTCCTGTGCAGTTGACAGCGTCTGAAAACCTGCCGAGGGTCAGCTACGAGGCAGTGACCACATGATGGCAATGACCAACAACAAACTCAGGTGCAAAGAGATTAAGTACTTTGCTCCAAAGCCTGTGGTTTGTGAGTTGTAAGGCCAGGCCTCAAACTCAGATCTCTCTGACATAAAATCTTTTAAGAGGTTCCTGCAACACTTGATCCATCAAGTGGGTATTAATGTCAGATCACCTGTAATGAAAAACAAAACATTCTGACTTTGAAATTATCACCACAGATTACAGTTAGATGTTGTCTTTTTTCTTTTTATTGTAATTTTTAATGAAAGTGAATAGAAAAGTTGGATTTTGATTCTTTCATTGTTGCACATTTTCCTACCTCCTTAGTTCACTTAAAAAAATTCACTTATTTTTACATAATTTCCTCCCTTCTCTCCTACCCCAGTTCACGTTGCTATGACACCTCTTATTCTAGACTACTGTCATATAATGCCCAATTATATATTTCTTTTAAGCAGTTTCCTTTATCCGTTCCAATGCAGTGTTAATTATTTATCCTATCTTCTCTTAGGTTCCCTCCAACCCCCATGTCAGTCCTGTTTTATAACAATGGTGTTATACACTATTTGTCCTTTTGTGACCGAGATATTTCACTTAGCATAATGTCCTCCAGGGCCATATTATGTAATATTTTATTAGTTCCTTGTTTTTCAGTGCTGTGTAGTATTCCATCATATGAATACACCATAGTTTTTTTCTATAATTCATTTGTTGAAAATTAATTCTAGAAAAAGCACATGGGGTTGCTTCCACCTCTTTGCTACTGTGAATAACACAGCAAGAAACATGGGTGTGCATGTATCTATTTGGGTTGCAGCTCTGGTTTCTTGTGGATATATTCCTAGTAGTGGAACTGCTAGGTAAATGGTATTTCTACTTACAAATTTTTGAGAAAGCGCCATACTGCCTTCCATAGTGGTTGCAACATTTTACACTTCCACCAGCAATGAGTAAGAGTTCCAGTCTGTCCAGCATTTGTTTTTTGCTGCTCTATTGAACTTTGCTATTGTTACTGAGGTGAGATGAAATCTCAGTTGTTTTGATTTGCATCTGAGAGCCAGGGATTTTAAACATTTCTTCATGTATTTATTTGCCACCATCAAAGAATGTCTTCTTTGGTGAAGTGTCTATTCATCTCCTGTGCCTATTTTGCAAATGAGTTGTTTACCTTTTTCTTGATGAGGTGCTGGAGTATTCTATAAATTCTAGATATAAATGTCTTATCAGACTTAGCAATTTATCTCCCCCTCCCCCAGTATGTGGCTTTCCTTTTTACCCTGTAGGATTTTTGATGAGCTGCCCTGTGCTCACCAAGCTGTGCCAAGAAATCTGGAGAACAACCACTTGGCCAACTGACTGGAAGAGATCTATATTTGTTCCTATTCCGAAGAAGGGTGACCCAACAGAGTGAGGAAACTACACAACAATATCACTGATTTCACATGCAAGCAAGATTCTACTGAAGATTATCCAAAAATGACTGGAACAGCACATCAGCAGAGAACTGCCAGAAGTCCAGGCTGGGTTTAGAAGGGGTCGTGGTACTAGGGATATTGTAGCTGATGTTAGATGGATCTTAGCTGAAAGCAGAGAATACCAGAAGAATGTCTATCTGTGTTTCATTGATTATGCAAAGGCATTTGACTGTGTGGATCATAACAAACTGTGGCTGACTCTGAGAAGAATGGGAATCCCAGAACACTTGATCGTTCTAATGCGAAACTTATACTTGGACCAAGAGGCAGTCGTCAGAACAGAGCAAGGAAACACTGCATGGCTCAAAACTGGTAAAGGTGTATGCTAGGGATGTGTCCTATCTCCATACTTTTTGCAACCTGTATGCAGAACAGATTATCTGAGAGGCTGGGCTCTCTGAGGAGAAGTGTGACGTCAGGATTGGTGGAAGATCTAGCAACAATCTGCATGAAGCAGATGACACAACCCTGCTTGCTAAAACTGAGGAGGACCTGAAATGCTTGCTGCGGAGGGTCTTCAAGGACTGCAGCCTTCAGTATGGATTGAGAAGAAATTGACAACTTTAGTCTGCTTGGCTCCATGGTCAACACTCTTGGCACCAGTAGCCAGGAAATAAAAAAATGTATTGTGATGGGAAAGTCTGCTGTCAGGGACCTCTCCAAAGTACTGAAGAGCAATGGTATCACTCTGGAGACTAAGGTGCATCTGATACAGGCCATGGTCTTTGCAATAACTTATTACACATCAGAGAGTTGGACAATGACTAGGAAGGACAGAAGGAGAACCAATGCCTTTGAACTGTGGTGCTGGAGAAGAGTATTGAATGTACCATGGACTGCCAAGAAAACAGACAGATTTATTCTGGAGAGGGTTAAACTGGGCTGCTCCTTGGAGGCAAGGATTCTGGGGCTTTGTCTGACATACTTTGGACATGTTGTAAGGAGGGGCAGGTCTTTGGAGAGGGACATCATGCTTGGGAGGGTGGAGGGCAGGAGAGGAAGGCCCTCTATGAGGTGGATTGATTCAGTGACTGGGGTAATTGGGATCAGTGTGTCAGAGGCAGTGTCATTGGCACAGGATAGAGCAGGGTTTAGGGCTGTTGTACATGGGTCGCTATGAGTCGCAAGTGACTCGACAGCACATAACAACAACAACAACAACAACAACAACGGGATTTAATTCTTAGAAAGTCCCATTAATCTATTTTATTCTTTCCTGGTTGTAAGTTTTTCAAGATGCTTGGAAGATTGTTCATGTTGTGGATTAGGGCTTCTAGAGTTCTTCCAAGCTGTTTGTTCTCTGTTGTAGTTTATAATCCTTGGTTTTACTCCTAGGTCCTTGATTCACTTTTAATTGGTTTTTGTGTATGGTGTGAAGTGTGGGTCTTGCTTGAGTTTTCTACAGATGGTTTTCCAATTTTGCCAACACCACTTGTTAGAGACTTTTGTTTCCCTACTTAACTGTTTTTATCTCCTTGTCAAAATTCAGTTGGTCATAAGTAAATGAGCTGATTTCTGGGTTCTCATCCTGTTCTATCACAGAATAGAATTGATCTATCACAATGTCTGCCACTGAACCAGTACCATGCTGTAATACCAACACAGCTGTGTAGTAGGATTTGTGACCAGGGAGTGAGAGGTTTCCTACCTTGTTTCTATTTTTTCAGGAGTGTTTTACTTATTTGGCATCTCTTTCCATTCCAGATGAAATTGCCTTTTCCATCTCATGGAAGACTGAAATTGGTATTTTTATTGCAATGAACATGTAGATTGCCTTTAGTAGAATTGTCATTTTCACAATATTGAGTCTTCCTATCTTTGAAGATGGTATATTCTTCCATTTCTCCAGGTCTCTTTTTGTTTCTTGTAATATTTTGAAATTTTCTTTGAATAGGACTTTTGTGGTTTCTAGTTAGATTTTCTCCCAAGTGTTTAATCTTGTGGTTAGCTACTGTGATGAGTATTGTTTTTCTTAGCTCCTTTTCTGTATTCTCTTGTCACTGTAGAGAAATCCAATTGATTTTCGTATGTTGATCTTGTATCCTGCCACTTTGCTGAATTGTCAACTATGTCCAGTAGTTTTCTCACTGAGTCTTTAGGGTTTTCTAAGTATACTATCATATCATCTGCACATAATGATAATTTTATCTCTTCTTTGACAATTTGAATACCTCTTATTTCCTTCACTTGTCTTACTGCTGTCACTAAGACTTCCAATACAATATTGAATAGGGGAGGTGATAGTAGGTATACTTCCCTAGTTCCTGTTCTCAAAGGAAATAACTTTAATCTCTCTCCATTGCAAATGATGTTGGCTCTTGGTTTTTTGTATACACTTTACTATGTTGAGGAAATTTCCCCTCTAATCCTATTTTGTTAAGTGCTTTGATCTCGAAAGGGTGTTGGATTTTGTCAAAGGCCTTTTTTGCATCAATTGATAAGATCACGTGGTTCTTGTTCTTTGCTTTGAATTACATTGATTTTTTTATGTTGAATCATCCTTGCATACCAGTTATGAATCCCACTTGGTCATGGTCAGTTATTTTTTTATGTACTGTTGGATTCTATTCGCCAGGATTTTATTGACGATTTTTGCATCTATGTTCATGAGAGATATTGGCCCATTCTGGTAGTGTCTTTACCTGATTTCGGTATCAAGGATGTGTTTGCTCCATAGTATGCGTCTGGGAGAATTTAATCTTTTTCTGTTTTCTGAAATTTTTTTTATCAGGCACACTTTAGTCTTTCATAGGGCTAAAATATTTTATGTAGAATTGGTGACAGTTCTTCTCTGAGTGTTTGATAAAATTAACTTATAAAACCATCTTGTCCAGGGCTTTTTTGGTTATTGTAAGTTGTTTTATTACCTGTTCAATTTCTTCTTTTATAATGGGTGTGTTTAGGTGTTCTACTTCAGTCTATGTCAGTTTAGGTGGGTTGTGAGGTTTTATGTATTTGTCCATTTCTTCTAGGTTTTCATATATATTTGAATATAGTTTTAAAATAATATTGAATTGCAAATCTTCATATTTTAGTTGGTTCTGTTGTGATATTGTCCCTTTTATCTATGTTGAGTTTCTTTCTGGTAGTTCTATTTTTATCTTGAGAGAGGTGTACAGAAGTCTCCTAATACTATTGTGATGGTGTCTATTTTCAGTTCTGTTAACATTTGCTTTGTATATTTTGCTGCTCTATCATTTGGTGCATAGATATTTATTTATTATGGCCAGGGCATTGTCTCTTAAAGTCAATATGGCTCATCTCTTGATTTCTTGTCTGATGAAGGCTTAAGGAACTCTTTGCCCTTTTAGATTAGAAGCACACTCTTTCAGTAGTGTGAAAAGCTAACTTCAGTATCTTGTTGCTCTAGTTATGTGCTGTTGAGTCGACTATGACTTATAGTGACTTTATGAACACTGGATCTAAACCCAGCCCTATCCTGTGTAGGTGTAGTTGTGACCAAGGGTACTTCAGGAAAAGATCTCCTAGTCCCCCTGTGGAAGGGTTTCCTGTGGAGCTGGCTGTAAAAGCTCAGACTAGAGTGGCCTTCACTGGTTATTCGAGTAACTGGAAGGGACAGAGTGTGCCCAGCTGGGCCTTGGCTGATCAAACTCAGCAAGCTCTATTCTTAGTCTGATCCACTGGCAGTCAGGCCAGGTTTGGCGATGTGATGCTGGCACTATTTTTAGCTGCAGAAGTCTTGCCAGCGGGTGGAACCAGAGGAGCAAAAACCTCCATTGGGTAAATGGATTCTATAACAACATTTCCCTATTCATGTATTCAATCATTCTGCATTAATTAGGTGTGTTTCCTGCGACAGGCATTTAGTCAAGGGCTGGTAACTAAAGATAATAAGCTGGTGCTAAATAGTGCTAGAACTTTTTTTAAAAAGAAAAAAGCAACAACCCAAAAACCTTTTTCTCTTAATTTGAGTAAAGCTTACAGAACAAATTGGTTTTTTTTTCCCCACACAATTCATCCAGATTATGTTTCCGTTACGATGGTTACATCTCATTTTCTTCCCTGCACTTTCTACTTTCATTCTTTCCTATCTTTCTTGTCTCCTGAGCTTTAAGAAAAACTCAAACACAACAGAACAAACCACTGCTTTCAGACTCATTGCCTCATGATGATCCATCCTCTAGCGGGGTTTTGAGGCTATAAATATTTGTGGGAGGAGACTGTCCATCTTTGTCCTGATGGATTTGAATGGCCAACCTTTCAGTTAGCAGTCCAACACAACATTTCGGAGAGTAGAGGAGGCACAGACTATCACCCTAAACAAGTTCAGGTTTTAGCTCAATTCCAAGGCACAATTCCTCAATTACTCCAGGCTCTGGTTTCAGTTCAGTAATCAAATTCACATCATCCAGCAAGGGACAAGCACTTTTCAAAACTCTCTTGATCCTGAATGGTTAACTGTACCCACACAACCACCACGTGAGTTGGTCCTATTATTGCCACATTTTACTCTGAGGGAACTACAGCATTAAGAATGAAGCAAATTATCTAGGATAGTCTGGAAAGTGAGGAGCTGGGAGATGAACTCCAAGATGACAGCTGCAGAGCCCATGGTTTTTCCTATGGCACATGACTTCTCAGGTAAATGGAACAGTATTTGAATGATTTGAAGTCTGGCTGGGAGACACTGAAATGGAAACGTATTATAGTTATTATGGTGGAATTATACATGAAATGTTATTGTTGTTCTGTGCCACCAGTTGGAACCGATTCATGGCTGGCCCTCCAGTGGGTTTTGAGAGGCTGTAAATTGCACTGGTGGAGATCTTTCTCCTGTGGAGCAGCTGGTGTGTCCGAACTACATACCTTTGGGTTGGCAGTGTAGCTCCTTACCCACTTGCCCACCAGAGGTCCATAAATATGAAATATACATGTACAAAGGAGTAGTCCATCTATATTGTCTGTAGGACTTCTGCGTGAGTGATGTAGGTTTATTATGGACCTTGATCGTGGTGGGTGGGGAATGCACATTTTCAGGCTGAGAAGCTCAAAGGGAACCCAGATGGATTTTTCCATTTGGCTCTTGTGTTTACACCTGGCCCTCAGTGTGTATGTGCATGGGTGTGGGCACAGGGAGGCAGTGGTGATACAGTGGTGAATTCTCACCTTCCACAGGGGAGACTTGGGCTCAACTTCTAGCCAATGTTCTTTGTACACAGCCCCCACCCCACCTGCCTGCTGCTGGAGACTTGAGTGCTGCTATGTTGTTGAATGGGCCTCAGTGGGACGTCCTAAGACAGAACAGGCTTGGCGATCTCCCTGTGGAAACCAGCCAGAAGAAACCCTGGGGGCCCCAATGGTCCAGTTGGCCACTGATCATGGGGTCTGTTGTATGTGGATCACATCAAGGCAGGGGCAATGCTATGGTAGCTGACAACAAAAGGAGCTCTGGTGGCCTCATGGGGAGAAGCTGTGCTGCCAACCCAAAGGCACGTGGTTTGAATCCACTAGCTGCTCTGTGGGAGAAAGATGGGCAATCCCCTCTACTGTGATGTGCAACCTCTGAAAACTTGCTGGCAGGTCAGCGATGGGTGAGTTCTGACTCAGTGGTACATAACAATACAACAACAACAACAGCAACAACAATGGCAAAACAAACCTATGATATAATGCCATTTGCTACCTGCCAAACCAGACACCGAGGCTCTGAACTGGCAAATCTGATGCCTGTTGAAATCTTCCAGAAAGTATGTGCCAGGTTACTAAAAATTATTCTTGACTTTTTAATATTTAGCTGAGATAGTTTCTTCGATGTTTGTAGTTTGGGTTATTTGAAAAGTTAAAATTTTCAAACCCTACTAAAACATGCCATATTTTTCTCAATAACCACCTAAGGAGCGACTGAGAACTAACACTCAAAATAGTAACTAGAATGAGTATTAGCCAATCAGAACTGGGAATTTCTGAATATCTCTGGGCAAGAGCAAAGGTCAGGCCTATTTCCTTCACCATGTCTATGGGAAGGGGCCCCTTTAATTCAAATATCTTTGGTCAGGGTGAATCAGCCATCTCCTGCCTTCAAATTCTACTTTTCGTTCAATAAAATATTATTTTACAACATATTATTCCAGGGTAAAAAGATTTCCTCAATGCTTAGATCTACAATTTAAGAGTCACGTTATTTTCTCCTAGATTTTCTTGTTGTAATCATTTAGTGGGATTTAGGATTAGAAGTTGCCTTTATGATACCATTTGACCTAGCGATTCCACTACTAGGAATATACCCTAAAGAAACCAGAACTGCCACCCAAACAGATATGCGCACACTTATGTTTATTGTTGCATTGTTCACAACAGCAAAGAGATGGAAGCAACCTAAGTGCCCAACAACAAATGAATGGATAGAGAAGCTGTGGTATATTCACACAATGGAATATTATGCAGCAGTGCAAAACAAGGAACTCATGAAATATTATACAAAATGGGTGACTCTGGAGGACATTAAGCTGAAAGAAATATCTCAGCCACAAAAGGACAAATACTGCCACTGTTATAAAACAGGACTGACATGGGATTGGAGAAAACGAAGAAAAGAGGATATAAATAATGAACAATGAGGGAAAGAAGCATTTAAAAGGAATATATGATAATAGGGAGCTCTGGTGGCCTAGTGGCAAAAAGCTGCACTGCAACCCCAAAGGCACAACAGTTTGAATCGACCAGATGCTCTGCTGGAGAAAGAGGGGCAAACTCCTCCTGTGCCAGTCAGATCTGATTCAATGGTACACAACAAGAAATTTTAAAAAAAATTAAAAAATAAAAGGAATTTATGATAATTTTTTTAAAGAGAAAAGAGAAGTGGGCAGAGGTAGGGAGGAAAATGTGCAACAATGATTGGATGGAAAGCTAAGTTTTCTATAAACTTTTGTTAAAATAAAAAAAAATTTAAAAAAGACGTTGCTTTTATGCAGGATTATGTCATTTATTATATTTTCTTTTTAGTTAACAACCACAAAAATGATAGTAGAGCCAGGGTGTCAGTTTAAAGACCAAAGTGCAACCAATTCAAGCTATAGCCTTTCCAATTACTTGCTATGCATCTAAGAGTTAGACCGCGAATAAAGATGAGAGAAGAATCAGCACCTTTGAGTTGTGGTGCTGGAGAAGAGCACTAAATATTCTTTTGACTGTCAAAACAATCAACAGATATGTCTTGGAGAGAGCGCAGCCAGGATGCTCGTTAGAGGCTAGGAAACCTTGTCTCATGTACTTGGAGCATGTATGTTAACAGGTACTGGTCCTTAGAGAAGGACGGCATGCTTGGGGAAGTGCGGGGGAGGGGGTCACTGAAGGAAGGGAAAGACTCAATGACTCAATGAGATGGATTGACACCGTGATTCTAACAGTGAGCTCTAGTGTGGCAGAGATGATGAGAATGGCACAGGATAGGACAGAGTTCAGATGCTATGTCTGCACGGTTTCTATGAGTCATTCTCAACAGCACCTAACACCAATAACCTCCTTCTTAGTAAATACTCCCTCCACTTTCTAGGCCTTTTCTCCATTTCTGCTGGCTTCTGTCACTGTCACTGGAGCCTCTGCAGAGAGAACCAGGTGCTCGAAGACCTTTACTCCAATTGCATCATAAATAACTCACGGGAACTGGCCATCATTTATTTATTGAGCGAGTCTTTGAGCCAAGTGGTATGCTAAACTGTCTCACGTGTCCTCCCTCACAGAGTGGCCAAAGCCTATCTTACCCACGAGGAAAGAGCCTGCCAGGTCACGGCGTTTACCAGTGGAGTCAGGAGGTGAGCTCGGGCACCCAATTCTAGAGTCTGTATTCTTAAAACCACTATGCAATGAGCACTGGAAACAGGAGCGGCATCCACTTCCTAAATAACCTGCCTCTGGAAACTCTATGAACTTTGATAAAGGTTGATAGTTATAGAAAGGCTGCAGGCCTTGTGTTCATAGGGCCGCTATGAGTCGTGCTCGACTCAATGGCAATCAACAACAATGAGCATTGATCTTCCCAAAGAATATGACCACGTGGAAGGAACTCTAGTGGTTCTCTGGTTCAATCAACTAATAAAAGAGGAAACTGAGGCCCACTGGTGCTACGTCTCTAGTTCGAGAGCCCAAAGGGGCAGCATGGCCGAGGAGATGAGGAGACAGTGTGAGTCCCACTCCTGAGGCTTCAGCTAATATCCTCACTGGCAGGACCGTGTGGCTTTAGACTCTGCAGTGACTTTCCAATATAGACTCTTACCTGCTTCTGGGGCTGGGTGTTCGGCTCCTCCTCGATCTTTCTTTGACTCAAAAAGAAAAGTTTCCTCTTTTTTGTTGTTTCCTGAAGAATGACGATCTGCAGAAAGAAACAGTATATACTGAATGTGCATCGAAGACCGGACATGAAAACATAGCCTTATTTTTCTAAGATGAATGTATTGACAACAGCAGGCTTTATTTCTCTGATAAGCATACCCTTTGCTATTGTTGTTGTTACGTACCGTCCAGTTGGAACTGAGTCATAGCTGACCCTCCAGCAGGTTTGCAGAGGCAGTAAATCACCTGGGGGGAGATTGAACATTTTTCTCCCATGAAGCAGTGGATGGATTTGAACCACATGCCTTTGTATCCACAGCTCAACTCCTTTTGACTAGAGCTCCCTTACTGCTGTTGACTGGATTCCAACTCGTAAAGACCTGACATCTTGCTCCCACAGAATGACTGGTGGATTCGAACTGCTGACCTTTCTGCTAACACCTCAACACGTGATACTCCACTCCACCCCACCAACGTGCCTCTAACAAGTGGTTGAAGAGGCTGTAGTTAGTCAGGTCCTATGGCGAACACTCTGATTCACAGTGACCATTATGGACAACAGGACACCCCGCCTGATCCTGCATCACCTTCATAGTCTCTGCCCTTCAGACCAGCGCTGCAGTCACTGTGTCAGACTGTCTCATGGCAGATCTGCCTCTTGTATTTGACTCTCTGGGTGATGCAAAGGTTTAACTCACCTATTTGCTAACTGAAAGGCTGGAAGTTTGAGTACATGGAAAGGAACCTCAAAAAAAAGAGGCTGGTGACTACTTTTGGAAAATCAGCTATTGGGCACCTGGCCTCCGTGAACTCTGGGCTGGCCAGCTTGCTCACACCTGGCTTCGCCTCAGCCTTTCTTGGCTTGCCACCATCACTGTCATGCTGGGCGCCTCTCTGCCCTGCACTGCAGCCACAGCCACCCGGGAAGCCTTCTGCACTCGGTCCTGGCCCCCAACCCTGCTGCTGCTGTCCAGACAGTTTGCTGTTACTCCCATGGGTCTCAGGAGACAGAGGAGGAGTTTGATGCTCACTGGGTGACATATTTCAACAAGCCAAACATCAATGCCTAGGAATTGAATAAAGGGTTGAACGTGCTTGTTGGCTTTGATCTGGTTTCAGAACCCCAAATCACCCATGTTGCTTTGCGGGCCTGCAGATGGTTAAATGATTTTGCTAAGGCAGTCCACATCCTAGGGGTTGTTAAGGATAAAGAAGGAGATCTACCTCTTTATCATCCAGGAACAAAGTCCAACTTTAAGTGAAGTGGGAATCTCTACTTCAAAGGAACTAGGTTTTGAAAACGTGTAAACTCTTACAGGTGTGCTTCCCAAGGATTTACTAACGGTGCTATTTGATTGTAAACAGTCACCTGGATACACGGAAAATAACATAGTACTTTATCCAACAAGTTTCCTTTTACTGAGTAGCAAACCATGTAATGGTAACTTGGATCTTAATAAAAGGGAATCAGCTTTGAATTGGAAAAAAAATAAATTATTGGAGACCCTAAGAGCACAGTTCCACACATACACTCAGGTCACCATGAAGTCCAAGTTCACTGCTGGGCAACTGCTATCTACATCTGATACCAGCACAAAGGGCAAGTGATATAATAAATTTAATATAGCAGTTGGTGTCCAATACAGGAAAAACAGGTGGAGAAAGAGAAGCACAGAGACTAAGCCCCCAGGGGGAAGGAGGGAAAGGCCTTGGGCTACAGGAGTCAAGGCTGGCCCCTGGGCTTCAAGCCCAGATGGTACAGAGTTATTTTTAAAAAGAGACAGTCAGCATTCTTCTCTATGCTTGCAGTGCTCACTGTGCCCCGCCTGGTGCTGTCAGCAGCTCCGTCTCTTCTGGCTGAGGGAGGTGCAGGGTTTGCCCTCCCCAGCCTCATTCAAGCAGGAGGAAGTGGGTCAGAGGGCTGGGATCAAATGCCAGGTTATCCAGCAGCCTGTTGATGGATATACATACCTATCTAGGATATATTTGCTGTTGTTGTTATTATGTGCCATGAGTCGCCTGCGACTTATAGCGACCCTATGTACAACAGCCCTAAACCCTGCTCTATCCTGTGCCAATCTCATTGCCTCTGACACACCCATCCCGATTACCCCAGTCACTGAATCAATCCACCTCATAGAGGGCCTTCCCCTCTTGCGCTGTCCCTCCACCCTACCAAGCATGATGTCCCTATCCAAGGACTGGTCCCTCCTTACAACATGTCCAAAATATGTTAGACGGAGCCTCAGAATCCTTGCCTCCAAGGAGTAGCCTGGTTTAACCCTTTCCAGGATGAATCTGTTTTCCTAGCAGTCCATGGCACCCTCAATACTCTTCTCCAGCACCACAGCTCAAAGGCATCAATTCTTGTATCCTCCCTAGTCATTGTCCACCTCTAAGATGCATAAGAAGTGATAACAACGACCATGGCCTGTATATGTACATCTGATGAATTCAACTACGACTCATAGTGACCCAGTGAAGAACCACTCTGAATCTTGCCCTGTGCGAGCCTCACCATCCAGTCACCCCAATCCCTCAAAATTTCTACTTTGTCTTACTGTGCTTCCTCCAAGTGCCCAGCGTGCCAGTTACATAAAGCCAGTAATGTGAGTCCTCGCACGGAATTACAGAGCAGAGTGAGCCAGGCTTTTGAATTGTGATGATGGTGAAGAATATTGAACATATGGATCGTTGTAAGCCCTGAACTCTGGCAGCCTGCAGGGCTGCGTTGCTAACCCAAAGGTTGTATCTTTCCGGCAGTTCAAATCCACCACTGGCTCTGAAGAAGAAAGATGAGCTGTCTCCTACCGTGCGATTTAGAGCCTTGGACACCTGATAGAGAAATGGAAATGAGGGTTTTGTTGTGTTTTTGTTTATGGTTGGTTTTTTTTTAAGATAGTGAGAAGAATAAACAAGTCTGTGTTGGAAGAAGTGCCGACAGAATGCTTAGAAGCAAGGACAGTGAGACGTTGTCTTAGGTACGTTGGGCTCATTGGGAGGGGCCCCTCTTTGGGAAAGACACTATGCACAATCCCTGGAAAAGCTGAGGGTCAATGAAGCCCCGCGGTGAGACAGAGTGAGCCACTGTGGGCTTCAGGATACAGGGATTGTGAGGGTGACACGGGGTCATGCTGTTGTACACGGGGTCACTGTGCCTCAGAGGCGACTCGACAGAGCATAACAAGACTGTCCACCTCGTGTGCGTGAGGCCCTCACACTGTGGCAACTCACGTGTCGCGGTGATGCTGGAAGCTGTGGCACTGTATTTTGGATACAAGTGGGGTCCCCTCCCCACAGTGGGCAGGTTTCTGTGGGGCTTTCAGACAAACAAAGAGTAGCAAGGAAGGGCTCTAACTCCGAAAATCAACCAGTGCAAACCTACAGATCACAACAGAATATTGTTCAACACACAGATACCATCAGGAAAGAGCAACAGCTACAAAGATCATGTTTAGTAGAAGGACACAAAAAGGAGGGGAACCTCAATGAGATGGAACGACAATAACATGGGCTCAAACGTAACAGCAGTCAGGTCGACGGTGTGGGGCCCGACAACGCTGGGTTCTGTTACACTGAAGGTGGCCACAGTCAGAGCTGACCCACGGACAACCTGCGGTAATGACAGAGTACTGGACTGGACTTTCCACAGTTCTTTCACTGGCCACCTCCTGTGGTGGCAGAAGTCCTACTTCCATCTAGCACTGTGAGGGGAGAGGAAGGACAAAAGGAACCGGGGCAAGTGGTGGAGGAAGTCAGGACAGAGGTGGGGTGATAGAAGACCAGCCAAGTTGTCCATGAACAGGGCTGAGAGGTGCAGGTCACTCGGCTGGGGGGAGCTGTGTCCCAGGAGGAGGACGGGGACAGGGAACTCTCAGGCTAAATGATGAGGCTGGGGTGGCACTGGGGCTGTTGAAATGTGAACCACTATCTGTACAGCAAGAGTGTGTCCAGTATAGTGATTTCAGCACCACTGATTTGTTGGGACCATTAACATTCTGGAGGAATATAAGATATTCTGGAGGCCAGTTTAGGATTGCCATTTAAAAAAATTTAGTTTTGCCAAGTGGACCTGAAAAAAAATTACCTCTATTACAACCATCACTTTCACCTCATATAGAGTAAGGGTTTATTTAATGTTGTTGTTAGGTGCTGTCAAGTAAGACTCATAGCGAGCCTATGAGCAACAGATCTGAACCCTGCCCTGTCCTGTGCCATCCTCACAATCTCCGACACACTTAGCCCACTGCTCCAGTCCCTGTGCCAACCATCTGGCTGAGGGTCTTCCTCTCCTTCACCGATCTTCCCCCTTTCCAAGCATGATGTCCTTTTCCAAGGAATAGCCTCTTCCAGCAACATACCCGAAGTATGTGAGATGAAGCTTCACCGTCCTTGCCTCCATGCTTACTGAGGAAGGAGCTAGTTATGTAAAAAGGCTAGTTCTTTAAATTGAATAATAATCCACCCACTGACTCTGACTGGTGCCATCCCTACGTGTATCAGACAGACCTGTGCTCCAGGGTTTTCAGTGGCTACTTTCTTAAGAAGCAGGTCTTCAGGCCTTTCTTCTGAGGTACCTCTGGGGGGACTCACAGGGACTCCAGAACACATCACAAGGTTGCTATAAATTCCAAACTTATGGACAGTCATGGGCATTCAGAGAGGACTTAATGCAGGGAGGAAAGAGGTGGTTTGTTTTGTTTGTTTTTAAAAATCAGGGTATATTTCACTCAACCTTTCGGGTTTACAGAGCTCAGCCAGAACTGGACTCAAAGCATTTCTCCAGACCCTTTGGCTTCCTCCCCTGCCCCTGAGCACGGCCAGCAGATCTGGAGGCTCTATTGCCTGTGTTTCTAGTCTAGGCAGCGACCCCACAAGACCCGTAAGGACCACTTGAAGAGAAAGCACTGCCTCATACAGAGAAAAAAATGGAGAACACAGATCTTACTTATTGTACTACTTTTTATCACATTTCTTTTTTACCTCTTGTAGACATAGCAGAAGGTGGTGTCATGCACCACATAGATTCAGTGTTTTGAA